GGGGCCCGCTCCCGCAGCAAGCGACGTTCTCCGTCGCTTCAGGAAACAAATCGACCGAGCCTGAAGAGCTCCGAAGGGGAAGAACAATCCAAGTTCAGCGCGGAAAGAGAGGGGAAGGCAGTTTGTCCCTTGCCAAGATGCCGCTGGTAGGAGCCAACCAGAACTAACCCCCGTCTGTACAGGAGGACGCGGGCTGGCACCTGATCCGTGGTTCCAGGTACCGCACCCGCTTTAGCCCGGGTTTCTTCTGCCTTGTTCACCTTCCGCGCGCGGTCCCCGTCATCGCTTTTTCAGGCAGCCGCCGCCGGTCAGGCCTCTCCTCAGAAGGCGAAGCGTCAAAACCAGCAAGCATCATGGCAGAAGCCGGCCAGCTCCCTTGGCACGTGCACTCACTGAGACTAACGCGCTTTTAAACTCGGGTGTCAGACTGCAGGTCTCTGAAGTTTATTAGTCGTCAAGGACTTCGCCGGTTAAGAGAGGAATATTAAGCTTGAGGGTGTCCCCCTACCTTGGTGCTGTCTGCCGCTTCCGCGACGCACACCGAGACTCACCCTGCTGGGAATCAGCAGAGCCTGGGTCTCATTGTTTCTTTTAATACCGGTATCGCTGCCGCCTTTGTGTGAGAGCAGGGCTGCCGCACGCTCAGGATGCTCCCTTGCCATCTTGTGACGCTGCTGTTCCGCTTCGCAGAGCGGAATCCGCTATTACAGAACGAGCGGACTGGTGTCTTTCAAACAACGAAAACACGACAGAGGAGCAGCTTGCAGAACATGCTGCTGGAAGAGCTCTGTCAGCGGCTCGGGCACACATCACCTTATTTAACGCTGCAGAAGACAAAAGGTGGGATTAAAAGGCCTTTGATGACTCATCTGCAAACCCATCAAAGAGGACTGTATCTTACAACCAAGCTCTGCCCTTAAACATAAAAGTCTCCCTCCAACTTCAGCAGCATCTGTCCGTACTTGTTCCACCTCCAGCAGAAACGGTGGCACATCCAGTCTCTGCAGGGCCGAACTGCAGACGTCGGGACGAAGGCAAGAGCAGCATTTCGCAAGTCCCAGGTGAAAAGACAGCCAAGAGCCTGGCGGCAGCCATGATCAGTTGTTGAGCTCTAGTTCTGTAGCCATCGTGTATGAGTAGCTTGTCCAGCAGAATTATCTTTAACAGAGGCGGCAATACACCTGTTATTCGGAGGTGTTCTCTCTCACCTCTCAGACATACAACTAACTGGGACACGCACCACGCGTGGGCTGGCGTCACGAGAGGCAAATCTCAAATACTGAGACCAGCAGAGCGAAGTCAAACAATCCCTTCGTTCCTCCTCCCCAACAAGCAGCCTCCCGCTTCACCCCTCGACTGCAAGTTTTCATCTGGTAAAAAACACAGACCATAGCTTAAGATTTTGATCCAGCACGAGTCTGCAAAGAACTGTCCTTGCCCTTCCCAAACAGGACAAGCAGGATTTAAACTTACAAAGTATTAGTGAACCATTACTTCTTATTCAATATGAACATGCCAATCAGGTTTGAACTGGATCAAAAGCCAGTACAAGCTTTTTTCCCTTCCCCACCTCACATCCAGTTGTAGCTCAAATCACATTCAGTTCTCGCTTTGGCTCCTGGCAGCGCAGCAATCCGACACTTCCAAACTCCGCATCTGTTTGTGCTTAAACTAACTAAAGGTGGGAAGTGGCAGCAGCCACCTGAACATGCAGTATTGACACTCACGTTGAACAAGGCCACAGAACAACCACTCAGTCCCCCAGAAATCAGAATAAGCTTCCCTAAAATAGAAAAAATTAAATAACAACGGATTAAAAACATAGGTTAGGTGTCAAAATTGCCATCAGCTAATCACAAACAGCCAACTCGACTCCTAACTTGCCTATTAGCCAGCTTGCTGTTTGAAGGATGAGAGATAGGAAACATTTTCCAAGAACATACAAAAAAGGTATGGACAGATCTATTCAAAACGCAGTAAGGAAGGTCTTAAGTTCCAGGTTACTCTCATCTCACATCTTCTAGAAATAACTGTGGGCGATTGGAGAAATTGACTTTGTCTGTTCTATTCTTCCAGCTTCCCACAGTACAACTGTGATCAGCACCCAACCCACCAGAGGGCTCTGCTGCAGTCTGTCAGACTCTCCTCCTTGGAAGTTTGGCAAAGATTAAAATAATTTAAAGAATAAACTGGCTTTTTGCTTCAGCCAGTAAGTCTTTAATTTAAAAAAAGGGAATTAAGAACTTGCCCGGATGCGTTCACACACCTGGCTGCTCTTGAGTGAGCTGTCACAGGCAAACAGCATTGCCAAAGGTCACATTTTGATGGTTTTAAGCAGAAACAGCAGCAGAGCATTGTATCACAAATCTAAAGAGGTGAATTGCAGTTGCTCCTGCTTCTGCCTTGTACCATGAAACCAGCGAGAGACAAAGGAGACAGCAGCTGCCTCTCCTCCCGAGCCTTCAACTGTGACGGTCCAAATTCAGAGGGTTCAAAAGAAGGTTTCTCTTCCACCAGCTGCCTCTACCAGTGTCTCGAATCCACCAGCTCCGGGCGGAGGCTCAGCTTCTTCAGAGTTTCGTACCCCACCACAATGACGATGGTGGAAGGAGTGGCCGAGATGATGCGGGCAGAGAGGCCTTTAGTCAGGCCCCAGGGACCTTCCTCTGCCATGAGCTGTCTGAAGGTGAGGATGATGGAGCTCTTGCCTTCCACCTGCAAAGCCAGAACAAATATTCACAGAGCTGCCAGACTTCATGCTGAGCTGCTCTGGGGTTCTGCTCCAACTGAGGACTCTAGAGACTACAGATCAGCCAGTCCAATAACCTTGATCTAGTCTCCAGAATTCCCTGGGGGGGGGGAGGAGGGAGAAACAAGAAGTCCTAAAGAGGCAGCAGTAAGTGGGATTCTTAGATCCGTTTCCTCCTTCCTCCCATCTGCCCCCACGTAGAAGGGGCTGGATCAACACGACAGCTTGAGTCTCGCTAAAACTGACACTGCTAGAAGCACCTCTCCTTTTCTGAAGGATGCCACATCTGCTAGGGAACCTCATTTGAGCAGTCCAGGTAGGCGAAGCCAGCCTTGCTACCTGAGCTGTCTCCTATTAACGCCGAGTGCAAATTAAGCAGCATATCTAGGACAAAACAACCTACAAACAGAGAGAGAAGGGAGCCGTTTACCTGGAGCCACAGAGATCAAAGAGCTGAGACCGAACCCCACCCCTGCGTCATGCTGTTCTTGCAGACAGACATGCCAAGCAGGCTGAGCTCTTACCTGAACCCGAGCCCTGATGACATCCATGGGGTTGGTGAGCGTGGAAGCTGTTGCAGCTGCCAGTGGCCCCGATATAGCTTGCAGGAGGAGATGGGGACAGTCTTTAGGAGTCAAGCTAGAAAGCTGTTCTGGGAATGGGAGAGAGAGAAAGTTTCAGACAAGTGGCTGCTTATCAGTTCCTTAACCCCACCTGCTAATTTAGACGGATTTGCAGTGGGCAGAACCCCTGATTTACAACCTGTCACCTCCTCCCACAGCATGTCTAAGCGGTGCTTTCTACATCAACCAGAAAGTTAGCAAAGCACAGGGAACAAGCCCGTAAACACCCTGGCGGCTCAGTGCTCCATCATACATCCTCTGATCGGCTCCAACACAGGCTCTCAGACCTGCTGGGCAAACAGGGCAGAATAAGCTTGTATGTCCCCAAAACAGAGCACGGAAACCTTCACCCCCCTTTAAAAGGCAGGGGGGAAACCTTTAGACAAGGCTATCAGAAGTCGTCCGCAGAGATTCGCACAGATCCAGAAAGCTGTCACTACCACCAAACACATTGTCCAAGAGATATCTACATGGTATCCCGCCGTGGGATCTCTAAGGAGAAAAGCACTACGTACTGCTCATCCCAGGGATTTCCTCATTCTGCTCCTACTACCTGGCAAATGGGATTTGAATCTCCCACACTTTTATTGGTTAAAGTTGTATGGAAGACAGTCCAAAAGTCCGGTTTCTTTGGATGACGTGGTGGTTGTGTCTATCCGGCAAGAGGGAAGGAAGCTGCTCTGTTCGTGACCCAGAACACCGATCTGAATCACTGCCAGCAGCATACTTTGAGCCCCGAGGAAGGTTCAGTGACCCCCTCCTGCTGCCAGCCAAGACCAGCACACTATCCAGGGACAGAGGACTAGAAAAGGCAGCCAAAGTAGAGATGTATTGACACCTGGGGCTTACGTTTGGCGTCATCTTGATTTCCACTGCAGAAGACTAGGAAAGAGAGCAAACGTCTGAAAGAGGCAAGCTCCGTTCTCTCCATATCAACTTGCTTGTTCCTAGATGTCCACTTCTGAACCTTTTTGGCATGCAAGCCTTACAAATAATACAGTGGACTTTGGTATTAAAAATTGTTGACATGGAGAGTGAAAGGAGAGCTCCTGAAAAGTTCAGAATGGACCACCATCCCAAGCTGCTGTCGCCATTTAGATGCGGCACTGATGCGTAACCAGTGCTCCCCATTGTCACCAGAATGTGCCCACTCTGAAAAGCAAGCTAAACACTCGAGACACCTGTATTTTTAAAAGCAGGTGATTTCCAAGAGAGACTTTAAGCCTAGTACAGTGAAATCTAAGCCTCTCATTACCACCACTTTTAGGCAGATTGCTATTAGGTAAATATTAAGTCTAAAAATCACATGCTAAGCTGCATGCCAGTAATCTAAAGGATTATTGGAGGGGGGGAATAAATCTTAGCTGGCCAATATCTTTAGCATTTGGGAAACACCCTGAGGATTACCAGAGCTGAGCTAGGGAGAGAGAACATACTGTTAAGTGTAGTTTTATATCACAAGGCTTGGTGCCAGTTTTAAAGCTACGGAAGCTGAAGCATGATCTTAAGACACAAAACCATGGAAGATTTGGCCTTTGTCTCTGCCTGTTGTTTGGTTTTCCTATGAGATTTGTGGCTCTAGAAGTCTTTTTGCCATATACGAGACTCCTGAGTCCATGTGAACTGAAAGATGAATTATACTCACACGGTGGCTTCAAAACTCTGCCCAATGCCAGACAACAGCCTTCCTCACTTCCATGCAGAAAGTAAGCATTATTTGGGATTAGCGGAAGAAAAAGTTAAAGTACCAAGTCCCTCTTGCCTAGAGCCACCTAGTTTTAAGTCCTCTAGCACTCAGACTCCTACTCTTTAACTCTGAATTTAAAACCATGCTGTTCTGTTAAACTTCCACGCGACATCTGCAGAATTCCTTTAAATTGGATACAGCTATTTGTTTCAAGACAGGTTCTGCTCCCACCCCAAATCAAAGAGAGAAAGCAAATCACGCTGGGTCCACAGTTTCAGAGTCGATCTGGGGGGCTTCTAGGTCTCCTGGAATAAGATACATTCAAAGTGTCCTTCCACTTACCGGCATAGAAGTGGTAGAAGGGCCACCAGACTGCGCTGTTGGGAATATAGGTGAGCAGCGAGGCCACATAGCCCCTGTAGAAGCCTCTAAAGCCATCGGCCTTGAAAATCTGTACAATGATGTCCTTGGTTTGGCCAAAGACCAACATCCGCTTGCCATCCTGGTTCTGCACCTTAAACCTGCCCATGCTCTCCCCCTTCCTCTGCATCATGAGATGCTGGGAGATCACATCAATGGGCACCGTGATGCTCTGGGCCACCA